AAATATTTTTGCATAGTTAATAAAGCACACGTAGACAGGATTCATCTGATATTAGCAGTGACATCCCTGCTGACATGGCTGGCCTCTTCTAAATCCAGCTTGAGCTGGAATCTGGCAGTTCTCTGTCAATGTACTGTTCTGTTTTTGAATGATCCTTAGTATTTTATTTATATGTGATGTTGTTGTTGTTAAGTGCCATCGAGTCACAGGCAATCCATAGTGACTCTATGAAGGAGAGTCCTCAATGCTTGTGTGTCTTTCATCCTCTCTCCAGGTTCATAGGGTTTCCAGAGGCAAGCTATTATGGAAGTGGATGCCACTCCTGCTTCCAAGCTTGTTTTAATTGGGGAGCTCCACCCCACACTGTCCTCATTGGGTAACCAACCATTAACACATTTGACACATCAGTGTCACAGTGTTCAGCCTCACAGCAACCACAAGTTACCGCTGTACCGTCAAGTGGACACACAAGGCCTATACGACCTAGAGGAATGTTTGAACAAAAACAATGAAAGACAGGCCCAAGGGCCGCGGATTAAAAGTCAACCACCTTTGGCTTGGTAGCATCGCTTTCTGTCCACTGGGCCAACTGATCTCTATATTGATGTTATTGTTGTTAAGTGCCTCCCACATTCTACTGGATCATCTTTCTTGGGAATGGGAACAAATACAACTCTCTTCCAGTTAGTTGGTGAGGCAGCTACCCTCCAAATTTCTTGGCATAGACTAGTAGTGACCATGACCTGCATCTATCATTTGAAGCATTTCAATTGTTTTCCCATCAATTCCTAAGGCCTTTTTATTTTTTGCCAATGTCTTCAGTGCAGCTTGAATTTCTTCCTTCATTAACATCAGCTTTTGATCAATCGGCACTTCTTGAAATATTTCAGTGTTGGCCATTTCTTTTTGGTACAATGACTCTGTGCATTCCTTCCATCTTCTTTTGGTATTTCCTGGATTATTCAAGATTTTGCCCATAGCATCCCTAAGTAATATAACTGGAGGCTTGAATTTGTTTTTCAGTTCCCTCAGCTTGAGAAATGCTGAGTGAGTTCTTCACCTTTTATTCTCCAATTCTAGGTGTAGAGACACATTTCGTTACAGTAGTTTGCTTTGTCTTCCTTCCTAAGCTGCCAATTGAAATCTTCTTCTGTTCAACTCTCTTATTTCATCTTCTCTTTGTTTTGCCTTTTGTCCATTACTCCAGTGCAATTTTCAGGGTATCTTCTGAAATCCATTTTTGTCTTTTCTTTCTCTGCCTTTTTATTGACCTTTGCTCTCTTCATGGATGACATCCTTAATATCATCCTCCAACTCATCTGGACTTTAGTCATTGATGTTCAGTGTTTTAGACCTGGTCTTAAGATGATTTTTAAAATTCTGGTAGGTTGGACTCAAGATTATATTTTGGTTCTTGTTGACTTGTTTTCATTTTCTTCAGTTTCAATTTGAACTTGCACTTGAGTTACTGATGGTATGTCCTATGGTCAGCATCTGTTCTGGTTTTGAGCTTTTCCAACAATTTCCTCCATTGATGTAGTAAATCTGATTCCTATGTAGTCCATCTGGTGAGGCACGTGTGTAAAGCCAACCGTTGTGTTTTTTCTTTTTTAAAAGGCATTTGAGATGAATAAATCATTGAATGTACAACATCTGATCATCCTATTTCCGGTTTCAGTTCTGTCACCAAGTCTGTATTTTATGACTACAATTCCTTTTGCATTGCTTCCAACTTTTGCATTTCAATTACCAATTATCATAAGCACATCTTGCTTGCTTGTTTGGTTAATTTTGGGTTGCAAAATGTGATAAAAATCTTTAATTTCCTCCTCTTTGGCCTTGACTGTAAGAGTCTTTATTTGAATAATAGTCATATTAACAAGTCTTCCTTGTATATGTGTATGCATCCTATTCTATAACTAGGATGTATATAGTGAGGACTCTGCATGTTTAAAGGGAACAGAGTGGTCTTTCTTCACTGGTGCCCTTACTTTGCCTCTCCTACCCACACCATGTTTACTGCTTTTAGTTCTATAGATCCCAGAGGACTTCCAGCCCAGGAAGTCCTCCTTAAAAGAGAGTCAATCCTTTTTCTTTTCTTTTTAATTTTATATTTTCCCCAATCCTTTTTCTTTCGCTTCTGTCCTTGAGATGACTCTTAGAAACCTATATGATTTTATTGTTTTTTTTCTTCCCCATTCTAGATCTACCTTGCTATTTGTCTCGCCACTCCCACTTGCCTCCCCTTTCTCTTCTTTTCCATTTTGTGTGGCTTCCCCTTTCTCATTTTCTTTCTTGTAGTTTCTTATGACCTTAGCTTCTCAGTATTAGAGAGATCTATTGGCATAGTTCTTAGGGAGTAGCGCTGCTAAGTCAAGGGTGATGCCTTTTTGGTCGTTTGACTCCACCAGTAGCTCCATGAGATAAAGATGGGCAGTCTCCTTCTGTGTGATTTACAGTCTCTGAGAACTTGCAAGGGTCAACTTTCAGTCAGTTCAGACTTCACGGTAATAAGTTAAGTTTAAAGTTGCCAGTGTTGTCCTGGCAGGCACTGTAGTATGAAATAGAGTTGCCATATGCACAATCACACCACTAAAGTCTTCAGTGACAGTGAGAATTGGGAGAACTGTGCTGGCTGGGACAATTCTGAGGCTCTGGTTGCTTTAGCTGGCAAGTTGATTAGAGACAGTGGTCCATCTTTAAAGCTAGGGCTTCTTTTGGTTTAGCAAAGATCTTGGTTTCTGTTTCACTTGATCAAGACTGAGTTGAAATACTGCTCTGTGATGTTATTTCTTCATTCATCCTACATTGATTGTGCACTTACAATATGTCAGTTACTATGCTGGACAGAGATGCAAACCGGATCCAATTCCTGCAAAGAGCTAGTGAGTAGGCAGGTGTTTTTTAACAAGCTGTAATACAGGGTGAAAAAGTATTATATCAATAATGCAAAGAGGACAGACACAGACACCTAGGGGACAGTGAATCCATGGACAAATAATTTTTCTAAGTGTTGACTCTCTTGGGTGGGTCCTTAGTTGATCACCATAATATAAATAAACATTGATGATGCCAGGCTATTTTGATTCTGAACAGTACTCCACTTCCTTTCTCCTAGGGCAACATAACAAAACAATAATCATCATTAGCCTACTGAAGTAATCATGCAGATGTTGCCAATCTTTAGTAGCTTCCAACAGCCTCATTTTGACCTATTTTTAATGAAACCTAGAATCAGTTTTCAATCTTCCAAAGCTCTCCCAAACATTGCTATGTAGAAGTAGGATAGGAGGGAATTATTATTAATAGTAATTATTATTATTTTTAGCAACTGGGTAGATAGGGAATTTAAGGAGGAGAATGGTAACAAGGCAGTAGACCTGAAGTCTAATCACAGCAATTCTAATAATTAATCTAATGTCTTCATTTCTTCATTAATCTAATGACCTTCATTTTTTTTTGTTTGCAGAATGGGGATAATAGCATTCATCTTCTGTGGTCATTGTGAGGCAAAATGATGACAATGATGGGGTGGTGAAAACACGCCTGTGTATCTTTGGAAAGTCACATCTATGCACTGACTTCAGTTATCTGTCTGACCACTGATTTTCACAGGATAATTAGGAATTTTGTTTGACAACATTTATTGAGCATGTTCCCTGTTGGTGTAACTCTGAGGTTTCAGAAAGGCCTGGCTCCTGTCCCCTAGTAGTTCACTGTCTGAGACAGGGACAGACACCCATAGATAACTCTAACACGAGAATGATCCCAAATAGCTCCACCAGTGTGAGCTTTCTCAGATCATGAAGGATCTGGAGAGTTCTGTGGGAGGCGATGTTTACTTGGACTTTGCAGAATGGATAGAAAGATTATGCCAGCCCCTACTTAAAAACATTTGTCTTGAGGGTAAAAGCTAAGCCTGTTAGTTAAGCACAGGTAGGCATCTGGGCTCTTCTCTCTTCTGTTGCACTTCCCTAATTTTTATCCCTTGCTCTATGATATTTCCTGTTTCTTAAAACATATGCCTTGGTCTTTTGTGCCCACCTGCCATCTTTGCACATGTGATTCGCTTATCCTGAAATGCCCTCTTCCCTCTGCCAGGGCCAGTGGAATGAACAAGTAAGTTACTACTGTGGGGTTCATGTCCTAGAGTGTGGAGCTTGTCGTGTGTGTTAGCCAGTCCTCGGTGACTCAGTGTCCTCAACTACAGAATAAAAATACAGGATAATAAAGTGCTACCTCAGAGGCTGGTTGTGAAGATTATTAAATGAGGTAATGCAAAGTGTTTGGTCGCCCAACCCAAAGTAATCATTGAATAAATATGAACAATTTTTATTAACACTCTATGCTGCCATCATACTTGTATTTCAGGTCTTAGTCTTGCCATCGCTCCTCTGGGAGGACTTTTCTGGCTCGTAAGGCCTGGTTTTGTGGTCCCACAGCACACACACAGAGTACATCTCCTTCTCTGCCATGCTAGGGCCCTTCCTACCTTCTGTGTGACAAACTCCATGAGGACAGGGGCTGGTTGATAGTATTGGCTGCTGGGGAACACGTGTGAGGCACTTAGTAAATACTGAAAGGATGACATGAGAGTAATTTATGACTCAGTGATTCCCGAGCTAGGCACCCGGTAAATACTGAATGGATGACCTGGACACAATTGGCAATGAGCCATTAGGTTGAGCCAACAGGCAGACCTTGACAACACAGGTGATAGAGATCCTGGGACGGTGCTCCAGACCACCTGGGATGTCCGGGGCCCTTTCTCACCCCAGCAGTGACCCTTACAGGTTGCCATATGGGGGTCGGTGGGGAGGACTCAGCGCTCCACTTTGCCCGGGTCTCAGCAGAAACTGCAGCTGGACCGGTAGGGCAAGGGCTCTGGGCGCCGCAGAGCCCGCCTCTTCCCCGCCCCGCCCGAGACGGCCCCGCCCCCGCCCTGCCCCTCCGGCCTTGGAGCGCCGCAGCTGGAGCTGCAGCCGGTTGTGCACCGCCCCAGGCTGGGCGGGCCCAGCGCGTTTATTCTCCCGGGAGGAGCGCCCCCACGGCTTCCCGCCAAGGACCACTGCTGCGGGATGCAGCGCTCCACGTCCACCGTCACCCTGCTCTCCGGGAGAGGAGCCAGAGCGCCCGGGACCCCCAACAGGAAGGTGAGTAGCTAAACACCGAGCCTCGTTTCTGAGTTCCCGCCGTCCAGGTCACCTCCACTGTGGGAATCTAGAGATAGGGACCCACACAACCCGGTCCTGGAGCAAAGCTCAGACTCCAGTGCCCCACCCTGAACACAGCTTTCCAGTTATGCTCGGACTTTGCTGTGACTCTTCCTCTCGAATCTTTGGGGGCGCTCCAGCTGCTCCCAAGAGAGGACTTGGGGACTTTCTGGAGTTCCCTGGGATTTCCTCTCCTTCCCGACGCCTCAGTCAAGCCAAGTTTATTGGTGGCATCACCTTAAAAAGGGAGACATTATCTTAAGACCCAAAGGTAGTGACTATATTTAAGATGTAAACTTTTCCTATTCTACAATTAAAAGAAAGGCTCATTTGTCTCTACTCATGATCAAATAATGCCTATTCTAGTTAACGGAGTCGAGAGGGAAGGGGGAGACTCCACCTTAGAATCTAGAAATCAACAGCTGGGCTACCCAGGAGTGGAGTTGTGTGAGGCTTGGGTTTATAGAAATCACTTTCTTCTTTCTGATTTTAATATTCTCACTGTGGCAGCAGGTGTAGCCGTGGAAGCCCGGGGCACCATCTCTAAAGAGGTTGCACTTTTGGAAGTGCTCTATTTCCTTGTAATCCTTGATGCTTTTCCTTTTCTCACTTCTCCAGATGCTATGCAAAATAAATGCTAGACACCTGCAAGGTATAGCTTTCACATTCCACCCCTCTTCCAAGATTAACACTAAAGTTAGCTGTAAAGGCTAACTGCCAGAGGGCTTAGCTTGTACCTTGTTAGTCCGTTTATCATGTTATTCAGTACTTACTCATTAGTTTGATTTACTTAGGCGGAGACGTCTCTAATCGTTATTTCTCCCTTGGTTGGATAAACAAATGGTTGATTCCATGCCTAACCTTTGGTACCCCCATCTAATTTTTCTAATATTGTAGACAATATCTAGTATTGTAGTATTGTTTGTTTGGTTTTTCTGACCCCCAACTTTACCTAGCATGATGTCTTTCAGTAGGGATTTATCCTTACTAATAAATAACACGTCCAGGGGAGCTCTGGTGGCTTAGTGGTAAGGCTTTGTTCTATCAGCCCAAAGGCACATGGTTCGAATCTACCAGCAGCTCTGCAGAAGGAAGCTGGGCAGTCTTCTGTGCAATTTACTGCCTCTGAGAACCTGCTTAGAGTCAGCTGTGAGTCTGTTCTAACTCCATGGTACATAACATTGATAACAATTCCAGAGTAAGTGACAAGTTTTGCCATCCTTTCTTCTAAGGAACCTTCTGGTTGTACTTCTTCCAAGATAGAATTGTTCCTTCTTCCGGTTCCTTCCTTATGGCATATTCAGTGTTCTTTGCCAAACACTGTGATTAAAAGACATCAATTCTTATTCAGTCTTCCTTACTTTTTGTCCAGTTTTCACATGAATGAGAGACAGTTGAAAAATTTGTGGCTTGAATCTGGCAAACTCTTGTCCTCAAAGTGACATCTTTGAAGTCTTTTGCAGCAGACTTGCTGTTACTTGATTCCTTGACTGCTGCATCCATGGCCGTTGATTAATAATCCAAATGAAATTGAAGCATTGAAAACTTCTAGCTTTCCTTTCATTTATTATGATGTTGCTTATTGGTCTGATTGTGGGAATTTTTGTTTTCTTTATGTTGAGATAGAATTCATACTGAAGTCTTTGATCTTCATCAGTAAGTGCTTCAAGTTCCCTTCACTTTCAGCAAGTAAGGTTATGCCATTTGCCTATTACACGTTAATAAGTTTTCCTCCATTCCTGATGGTGCACTCTTTTTCACAAAGTCCAACTTCTTGGATTATTTTCTTAGCATAGAGATTGCATGGGCATGGTGAAAGGATATAGCCTTTCACCCACATCCTAAATAACATGCCTCCGGAAACTCTATGAACTTTGATAAATGTTGATACTTGTTGAGTGGCTTCAGGCCTTTTGTTATAATGTTGCTATGAGTTGTGCTCAACTTGAAGGCAATCATCATCAACAACAACACCACAATCATTAGTATATCAGATAATATATCTAGAGATTCCCCCACTTCAAATATTACTTTTGAGCATTTCTTTTTCTTTTCTTTTTTTTTTAATTTAGGTTGTTTATTTTTCATTTCAGTGAACATCTACAGAGATTTTGGGATTCCATTCATTCATTGTTGCACCCTTCTCCCCGCACAAACCCCTTTGAGCATTTCTTTATAAAGTATTTGGTATCTAACACATTGGGACCCACTATCAAGAAGACTTTGTGTCTTGAATAAAACGACAGAAACATTTGGGAATTGAAAGTCTTAGGGCTCTGAATCAGACTATGTAGGACTGGGTATGTTGGAAAAATATGTAAGTGGTTTCTGCATCTGCTCATAATTCACAAATGTGACAGGTACGTCTGTGCATTTAAGTGGAGATGGGCATTAATCTGTGATCTGTTATGGATTAATTGACTTAATGAAAGGTATTTTTAGATCTTTAGTAATAAATTAAATCCACCAGGGTCCATTCTGCCTGTGATGGTAGATCTTGTTGCTTCTAGCTACTTTCATACCAAGTGATGATTGTAGTGTTTACAAACTTCTGAATAAACTAATAGGAAAAGTTTTTCCTGAGGCATCAGAAAAAGTTCTCTGCTATCTGGAGCAACTTTTTAGTTTAGTCTTGCAGGATAAGTGAGACTTTGGAGGGCATTTGGTAATAATTAGGATACTGAAAGGTAGAAATTCCATAATCTAAATGGAACATGTGGCATGAGTGTATGGTAATGGTCCATTGGACTCACTTTAAAGCAAAAGGGAGATTTGGTGGCATGGTCTACAGGGAGTTGCACTGCTAGTACAAAGGTGGCACCTTTCTGATTCAGATCCGCTAGTGGTTTTGCAGGAGAAAGACGGACAATCTCCTGTGTGATTTACAGCCTCCAGAAAATCCACGAGAGTGTCAGCAATGAGTTAGTATCAACTGATGCAATGAGGTGGGGTTTGTGGTTTTGGTTTTTTTTTTTTAGTTTAAGGGCAAACACTTATTTTAGAAAAACAAGATCAAGATGTCTTGGAAATAAAGTTGTTGACAAATAAGTAATCCTTTAGGTTTCCTGAAACTGAAAATTTTTAATAAAGTCCAAGCTGTTTTCTCTGACATTGGACTGATAGTCTTGAACAACGACATATTAGCCATTAAATGACACTTCTGCTTACTGTAAAGAGATTATCTAATGGGGCACTGCAAGAGAGATCAGGCCAAGCTAGAGGAGAGAGTCAGGCCAACCAGAAATGGTGATGAGAGCTGACGCTGAGCAGGGAGCTCTCTGAGTCAGCCTCTACGGGCGGTGTATCCAGACCAGACTGTCGCCAGTTACCCTTGCTCGGTGTCTGTCACCACAATTTGTACTTCCTCCTTATCTGAAATCATTGCTCAAGGAAAATAAAGAAGGTGGGGAGGATAATTTCTGTCAGCTGGTCAGCAAAGCTGTGAGAGGCATTTATGGATGCCAACCAGCTGAGATTGTGAAATTGAAAAAAAAAAAAGTCTGCCTTCAAACTAGTTGTGTACTAAAAATAGTTTTATCTATGGCAACAGAAGGAAGATAAAATGCCTGGAGAATAACCATCTCTAGTATGAGGGCCTCTGGGACTGGGGAGGGGGGCATTTTAGAAATGTTTAAAAGACATTTCTTCCTATTTTGAAAGGAATTTTGTAAGTGTTGCCTAATCCTGCTGAATGAGCCTTTGAAATGAAAAGCCCTGTGTGTGCACGCCCACCTCCCTCCCAATTGTGCACTTTGGGGAAAGGCACATGTGGCTTTTATGCAGACAAATATTTTAGGTTAAGTTGTTCATCTAGGGTGGCATGAGGTGACAGCACTGCTGATAAGAAGAGATTGTTGACTGGTGGTGTTGGTTCTGTGGACCTTCAGTGGCACATAAAAAAAGGAAAGATGGAATAGGATAGAAGGATCATCTCCTAGCTTGCCTTTGGTCATGCTTCTTTCTATTCAAAGGCTTCCTCTGTGGAAAACTGGAATGGACCTGCAGTCATGATGCATGGCTAATGCACCAATCACCTAGGGCTTGTTTCTCACTGTGTGGCTCAAAGTAAGGATTTTTCTTACCTACCCCAATTGGCAGCATCAGGATGGATGGTGAAGAGATTGAGATTGTACACAGCTTTAGTTTGCTTGGCTCCATAGTCAACAGTCTTGGCACCAGCAGCCAGGAAATTAAAAG